GTAATTTGAACCCATTGCTCTGAGGCCTAATTTCAAGGGCAGCAGAAAACAAGTCGCTCCTCTTCCTTATGACACCCTTTCACATATTTATACATGACTATCATGTCTCCTCTCAACCTTTTCTTCTACAGCAGTGCTTCACAACTTGGCAGTCAGGACCGCTGGGGGGGTCGCGAGGGGATGTCAGAGGGGTCGCCAAAGACCATCAGAAAACAGTATTTGCTGTTGATCATGGGGGATCTGTGTGCCAAGTTTGGCCCAATTCTATCCTTGTAGGGGAACTATAAATCTCAGTAACTACAACTCCCAAGTGTCAAGGTCTATTTTCCCCAAACCCCAACAGTGTTCACATTTGGGCATATTGAATATTCATGCCAAGTTTGATCCAGATCCATCATTGTTTGAGTCCACAGTGCTCTCTGGATGTAGGTAAACTACAACTCCAAAACTCAAAGTCAATGCCCAACACATCCTTTCAGTATTTTCTGTTGGCTATGGCAGTTCTGTGTGCCAAATTTGGTTCCGTTCCATCGTTGGTAGAGTTCAGAATGCTTTTTGACTGTAGGTGAACTATAAATCCCAGCAACTACAACTCCCAAATGACAAAATCAACCCCCCCCCCAAACCCCACCAAATTTGGTCCAATGAATGAAAATACATCCTGCATATCAGATATTTACATTACGATTAATAATAGTAGCAAAATTACAGTTACGAAGTAGCAATGGTTGAGGGTCACCACCACATGGAGAACTATATTAAGGGGTCGCGGCATTCGGAAGGCTGAGAAACACTGTTCTACAGGCTAAACATGCCCAGTTCTTTGAGCCACACCTCATAGGGCTTATCAAAGTCTTAATGAAGAGCAAAGTGAGTTCAGTAATTTTCTGGTTTGCATTTAAACCAGGAAGGCAGCATACTATATGCTTCATTTTAGAGAGGAGTATTATTGATATCAAACAACACACACCCCTCCATAAATCAATAAAACACACGGGACCCTGTATCCACAGGTCTGGCTTAGTTATCCATAGGCCTCAATATCCATGGATACCCCTAGAGATTCATGGTCTCTAGAACTTTAATTGTTTTAGTTGCCTTCCTCTGGACACTTTCCAGCTTGTCAATATCTCTTTCGAACTGTGGTGCCCAGTCTTACAGGTGAGGCCTAACCAAAGCAGAATGAAGATTCCCCCAATCTTCTCTAGTATGTTTAGTTACTGATCAATTCCTCTGTTTGCTGTGCACCATAGGAAAGAATTGGAATGGGTTTACGGTAGAGGCAGTGGGCGGGGTCATGCAAATTCCACACCAATTGAGATAGAAAGGAACACTGGGATACCTGTTGTGGAGGAAACACATAAAATCTAGGATGAAATTGTCCCCGTCTGAAAGCCTTCACTTGGGTGGTAGGTACAGGGGCGGCTCAACCCATTACGCAAAGTAAGCCTTTGCAGTAGAGTTGATTTTGCCCAGGGGCGCTCTTGAGGCGCTCTTGGGGGAAAATAGACCTTGACATATGCGAGTTGTAGTTACTGGGATGTATAGTTCACCTACAATCAAAGAGCATTCTGAACTCCACCAATGATGGAATTGAACCAAATATGGCACACAGAGCTCCCACGACGAACAGAAAATATATATCAGTGATTGGTTGGGGGGGGGGGGCAAAATACTGTTTGCTTACCATTGAAAATTACCTAGGGCCGCCTCTGCGCCAAGGTCTTTAGGCACTGCACCCAGTCTGGGGGTCGGGACCCCTGAGGGGGTCGCGAGGGGGTGTCAGAGGGGTCGCCAAAGACCATAAGAAAACACAGTATTTTCTGATAGTCATGGGGATTCCATGTGGAAAGTTTGAGCCAATTCTATCATTGGTGGAGTTCAGAATGTTCTTTGATTGTAATGAACTATAAATCCCAGCAACTACAACTCCCAAATGTCAAGATCTATTTTCCCCAGACTCCACCAGTGTTCACATTTGGGCATATTGAGTATCCGTGCCAAGTTTGGTCCAGATCCACCATTGCATGAGTCCACAGTGCTCTCTGGATATAGGTGAACTACAACTCCCAAACTCAAGGTCAATGCCCATCAAACCCTTCCAGTGTTTTCCATTGGTCATGGGAGCCAAGTTTGGTTCAAATCCATCGCTGGTGGAGTTCAGAATGCTCTTTGATTATAAGTGAACTATAAATCCCAGAAACTACAACTCCCAAATTACAAAATCAATCCTCCCCCAACCCCACTAGCATTCACATTTGGGTGTATTGGGTATTTGTGCCCAGTTTGGTCCAGTGAATGAAAATGCATCCTGCATATCAGATATTTACATTATGATTTATAACAGTAGTAAAATGACTGTTATGAAGTAGCAATGAAAACAATATTATGGTTGGGGGTCACTAAAACATGAAGAACTGGATTAAGGGGTCACGGCAGTGGTTCTCAACCTTCCTAGTGCTGCGACCCCTTAGTACAGTGAAGTAAGTGGTGACCCCCAACCATAACGTTATTTTCGTTGCTACTTCATAACTAATTTTGCTACTGTTATGAATTGTAATGTAAATATCTGATATTTGCAGGATGTATTTTCAGTCACTGGACCAAATTTGGCACAAATACCTGATATGCCCAAAATTTGAATACTGGTGGGGTTGGGGGTGATTGATTTTGTCATTTGGTAATGCTGGAGTTGCTGAGATTTATAGTTCACCTTAAATCAAAGAGCCTTCTGAACTCCATCAATGATGGAATTGAATCAAACATGGCACACAGAATTCCCATGACCAAGAGAAAATACTGGGAAGGTCTGGTGGACATTGACCTTGAGTTTTTGGAGTTGTAGTTCACCTACATCCAGAGAACACTGTGGACTCAAGCAATGATGGATCTGGATCAAACTTGGCACAAATACTCAATATGCCCAAATGTGAACACTGGTAGAGTTTGGAGAAAATAGACTTTGTCTTGGTGGTGGCCCCGCGACTCTGGAACTCTCTCCCTCTGGAGGCCAGAACCGCCCCATCCATCCTAACATTTAGGAAACGGGTGAAGACGTGGCTGTGGAGTCAGGCCTTCGATGAATGAGACAACACCATAGGACCCTGGATGGAAGTTGATGTAGATCCATCTTAATAGGACGACTGACCACTGTAGTTTTATATATAGTGTTTTTAAAGTTGTTTTTGTAATTGTGATATATGATATTTTAATGAGTGTATATGTTTTTTATGGCTGGAAACCGGGCTGAGTCCCTCAATGAGGTTGAGAAGCTCGGTATAGAAAACTGTGAAATAAATAAATAAATAAATAAATAAATTGCCATTTGGGAGTTGTAGTTGTTGGGATTTATAGTTCACCCACAATGAAATAGCATTCTGAACCCCACCAACGATAGAATTGGACCAAACTTCCCACACAGAACCCCCATGACCAACAGAAATCAGTGTTTTCTGATGGTCTTTGGTGACCCCTCTGACACCCCCTTGCGACCCCTCCAGGGGTCCCGACCCCCAGGTTGAGAAACACTGCTGTAGAACTCCTTCTTTGGAAGCTTTTAAACAGAGGCTGGATGGCCATCTGTTGGGAGTGCTTTGAATGCAATCTTCCTGCTCCTTGGCAGGGGGTTGGACTGGATGGTCCATGAGGTCTCTTCCAACTCTATGATTCTATGATTTCCAGGCAAGCATGCCCAGCTCTTTGAGCCGCTCCTCATAGGGCTTGTTCTCCAGAGCCTTGATCATTTGAGTCACTCTCCTCTGGACACATTCCAGCTTGTCAACATCTCTCTTCAATTGTGGTGCCCAGAATTGGACACAATATTCCAGGTGTGATCTAACCAAGGCGGACATGATAGCCATGTATAAATATGTGAGAGGAAGCCACAGGGAGGAGGGAGCAAGCTTGTTTTCTGCTTCCTTGGAGACTAGGACACGGAAGAATGGCTTCAAACTACAAGAAAGGAGATTCCATCTGAACATGAGGAAGAACTTCCTGACTGTGAGAGCCGTTCAACAGTGGAACTCTCTGCCCCGGAGTGTGGTGGTGGCTCCTTCTTTGGAGGCTTAAACAGAGGCCGGATGGCCATCTGCCGAGGGTGCTTTGAATGCAATATTCCTGCTTCTTGGCAGGGGGTTGGACTGGATGGCCCATGAGGTCTCTTCCAATTCTATGAGTCTCCTCTCAGCCTTCTCTACTTCAGGCTAAACATACCCAGCTCTTTAAGCCGCTCCTCATAGGGCTTGTTCTCCAGACCCTTGATCATTTTAGTCGCCCTCCTCTGGACACATTCCAGCTTGTCAACATCTTCCTTCAATTGTGGCTGAGAGGATACATGGCTATCATGTCTCCTCTCAGCCTTCTCTTCTGCAGGCTAAACATGCCCAGCTCTTTGAGCCGCTCCTCATAGGGCTTGTTCTCCAGACCCTTGATCATTTTAGTCGCCCTCCTCTGGACACATTCCAGCTTGTCAACATCTCTCTTCAATTGTGGTGCCCAGAATTGGACACAATATTCCAGGTGTGGTCAAACCAAGGCAGAATAGAGGGGTAGCATGACTTCCCTGGATCTGGATCTAGGCAAGTCAAGCCCATTCCATCATGACCCTCCTGGCATCAATGCCATTGAGTCCCATCCCCTACCATATAGAGGGACATGGGAGGGGGGAATCTTCTCCTTAGAGAGCCCTCCCCTCCATCTCTCATGTGAAAGAAGGATGGGCAGGAAAGGAGATCAGGGAGATTCTCTTTCCTTTGCAACAATGCTTCCTATGGGAGAGATTGGGGGGGGGGGGGAGAGGAAGGGGGTCCGGGGCGGGGTGGGGGGCTTAAAGGGGGGAAAAGGGCGCTGCCAGAGGGCAGCGCCCCTTTCCCCCGTTAAGCCCCCCACCCAGCCCACGGATGCCCCTTCCCCCCCCCCCCCCCCCCAAACAAACGCTTTCCCTTCCCAAGAATGGGTTGGGGGCTCTCCCTCCTCCCTCTTCCCTCCCTCCCCTGACTCACCCAAGGGGTCTGCTCCCTCGCAGAAGCCCCCCAAGCAGGGCTGGCTTTCTCCTCCTCCGTGGCTCCCCAAAGACAGGCACAGACAGCCCGATCCGCGAGGTTGGAGGGAGCTTCCCTTTGGCCTCGGCACACAAAGCACAGCTCTGCCCCTTCTTCCTCCTCCTCCTCCTCCTCCTCCTCCTCCTGGGCACCTCCTTTGTGTGCATGCGCGCGCAGCCCCTTCAGCAGCCCCTCGGCTTCCCATTCTTTTCCTCTCTTGTCCCTTTCAATCCCTGCCTCTCCCCACTTCTCTGAAGCAGGCAAATGAGGAAGGGAAAGGGGGTTATAGTTTGACAAGGTCTTCCAAAGCTTCTCTGCCAAATAGAAGTGGTGTCTCAGCCGAAACTACCAACATCCAGGGATGCCCCCCACTCACCCACCCAAGAATCGACCCCTAGCTGCATCCGTCCTACACTATGGACCAAACAGAGTGTGTTGTTGCGCAACACAGTCATTCAGTTGCACCAGCAAGTCCAGCAGTGATACTCAACTCTTTCTAAGACAGTGGTTCTCAACCTTCTTAATGCCGTGACCCAGACATGTAGCTGGGGGGGGGGGGGTCTTTGGGGGCTTCACCCCCCCCAAATTCTCATGGTGGTCCGCGAGAAGGCCTTACTGGTACATTATTTAAACTGTTATGTTTATTCATATCATGATCTGATCACCATGCTCAATATATCCCATATGCATGGGGGTATTGGGGTAACGATACAAAAGGTTTGCTAGGGTAGACCTCTTTCAACTCAGACTCAGCCCCCCCCCCCGAATCAACCCGAATCAAAATCCTGGCTACGGGCCTGCCCTGACCCCTTAATACAATCCCTCATGTTGCGGTGACCCCCAACCATAACATTGTTTTTGTTGCTACTTCATAACAGTCATTTTACTACTGTTATAAATCATAACGTACGAGGGGTATTTTTTAAGTAAGGTCCGTTTTGTTGTAGACACTAGTAGTTTGCGCGTATACCGCAACGAGCGCATGCGTCGTGTATGGCATGCCTCGGGAACAACTGTGCTCAGTTTCCGCTCTGTAGCTAACCTGTACGGTTCTGTTCTGTGCTTTAAAAATGTTTAAGACTATCAACTCACCCTCCGCATGTGAGGTTCGCTCAGTGATGGTTTTTGTCAGCAAGGAACCTGCCTGCTGCAGAAATTCATCGACAGATTTGTGAAGTGTACGGTGATACTGTTATGAGTGAAAGCAAAGTGCGTAAGTGGGTACGACAATTCAAAGATGGCCGTGACAAGGTCCATGATGAGGACCGCTCCGGTCGCCCTTCTTTGATTACAGTGAACTCTTGGTTATCGGAGCAGGCGGCAAGTTTTTATGAAGAGGGTATTTTAAAATTGGTTCAGAGGTATGATAAGTGTTTGAACAAACTTGGCAAATATGTCGAAAAATAGAGTGAAGTATGTACTTTCTGAAAATAAATTTACTTTTTTGAAATAAACTTTCGTTGTGTACTTATGTTCAAACGGACCTTACTTAAAAAATACCCCTCGTATATACAGTAGATATGTATTTTCATTCACTGGACCAAACTGGGCACAAATACCCAATGCACCCACATGTAAATGCTAGTGGGGTTGGGGGAGGATTGATTTTGTAATTTGGGAGTTGTAGTTGCTGGGATTTATAGTTCACCTATAATCAAAGAGCATTCTGAACTCCACCAGCGATGGATTTGAACCTAATTTGCCACACAGAACTCCCATGACCAATGGAAAACACTGGAAAGGTTTGGTAGGTATTGACCTTGAGTTTGGGAGTTGTAGTTCACCTATATCCAGAGAACACTGTGGACTCACGCAATGGTGGATCTGGACCAAGCTTGGCACAAATACTCAATATGCACAAATGTGAACACTGGTGGAGCCTGGGGAAAAAAGACCTTGACTTTTGGAAGTTGTAGTTGCTGGGATTTATAGTTCATCACAATCAAAGAACATTCTGAGCTGCACCAACAATGGAATTGGCTCAAACTTCCCACATGGAATCCCCATGACCATCAGAAAATACTGTGTTTTCTTATGGTCTTTGGCGACCCCTCTGACACCCCTCAGGGGTCCCGACCCCCAGGTTGAGAAATACTGCTCTAAGAGATAGTGTCATGTATCATGTTCTGCAGTTGTTGGTGGTTGGTGGTGGTAGGCCTAGCAGTTGGTGATGGAAGGGTTAATGTAAGTCATGGAACCAAACTCCTGAAGGACCAAAAATCAATTGCACTACGTTGGAAAGAACACTACCAAAGCCTCCTGAACCGCAGCTCCAATGTGGCCAAAGAGGTTCTCTCACAAATCCCGTAACAACAAACCAGGGATGAGCTTGCAGCACTGCCTAGTTTGGAAGAAGTCAGCAATGCCATCAGCCAACAAAAAAAAAATAACAAAGCCAGCAGACCTGATGGGATCCCTGCTGAAATCTTTAAAAAGGGAGGACCTGAGCTGACACAACAACTCCACCTGGAAACCAATGCCCTCACTGCGGAAGAAGATGCAGATCAAGAATAGGGCTCCACAGCCACCTACGGACCCACAAGAATACTGATCCTGGAAGACTATCCTACTCGGCCAACGAGGGATTGCCTAAATAAGTAATGTAAGTCTTAGTTCTAAAGCAGTGTTTCTCAACCTTCCTAATGCCGCGACCCCTGAATACAGTTCCTCATGTTGTGGTGACCCCCAACCATAACATTACTTGCGTTGCTACTTCATAACTGTAATTTTGCTACTGTTATGTATCGTTATGTAAGTATCTGATATGCAGGGTGTATTTTCATTCAGTGGACCAAGTGGCACAAATACCCGATATGCCCAAATCTGAATACTGGTGGAGTTTAGGGAGGGAGGGGATTGATTTTGTCATTTGGGAGTTGTAGTTGCTGGGACTTATAGTTCACCTACAATCAAAGAGCATTCTGAACTCCACCAGCAATGGATTTGAACCTAATTTGCCACACAGAACTCCCATGACCAACAGAAAATACTGGAAGGGTTAGATGGGCATTGCCCTTGAGTTTTGGAGTTATACTTCACCTACATCCAGAAATCACTGTGGACTCAAACAATGGTGGATCTGGACCAAACTTGCACAAATACTCAATATGCACAAATGTGAACACTGGTGGAACCTGGGGAAAATAGACCTTGACTTTTGGGAGTGGTAGTTGCTGGGATTTATAGTTCATTACAATCAAAGAACATTCTGAACTCCATCAACGATAGAATTGGCTCAAACTTCCCACATGGAACCCCCATGACCATCAGAAAATACTGTGTTTTCTGATTGTCTTTGGCGACCCCTCTGACACCCCTTCGCTACCCCCTCAGGGGTACCCCCAGGTTGAGAAACACTGTTCTAAGATATAATGTCATGTATCATGTTCTGCAGTTGTTGGTGGTTGGTGGTGGTAGGCCTAGCAGTTGGTGATGGAAGGTTTAATGTAAGTCATCAGATGGAACCAAACTCCTGAAGGACCAAAAATCAATTGCACTACATTGGAAAGAACACTACCAAGGCCTCCTGAACTGCAGCTCCAATGTGGCCGAAGAGGTTCTTTCACAACAATAAACCAGGGATGAGCTTGCAGCACTGCCTAGTTTGGAAGAAGTCAGCAATGCCATCAGCCAACAAAAAAATAACAAAGCCAGCGGACCTGATGGGATCCCTGCTGAAATCTTTAAAGAGGGAGGACCTGAGCTGGCACAACAACTCCACCGGCTTATAGAAAAAGCGTGGGTGACTGAGAAAATCCCAGCAGATTTCTAGGATGCCACCATCATCACCCTCTTCAAAAAAGGGGAAAGAACAGACTGCGGAAACTATCGGGGTATCTCCCATCTAACCGCTGGGAAAATCCTTGCAAGAATCCTTGCAAACCGCCTTCTACCCCTTTCAACTGACCACCTTGAAACATTCACACCTAGCTCCAACAGACAATATACCTTTGCCCCACCCTGGTCATTCCATAGATATATAAACCCATTTTCCTAGTTCCAACCAACCTCACTACCTCTGAGGATGCTTGCCATAGATGCAGGCGAAACGTCAGGAGAAAATGCCTCTAGAACATGGGCATATAGCCCGAAAAAATCTACAACAACCCAGTGATTCCAGCCATGATAGCCTTCGACAATAGATAAATGGGACTTAGAGCAGAGCAAACCTGAACTCTCCATATAAGAAAAAAAAAATACTAAACTGGAACTGTCATACTTTGGATACATCATGTGATAACATTACTAATTAGGAAAGAGTAAAGTGGAAGCCAATAGGAAAAGAGGAAGAGTGCACTAGAGGTGAATAAACTAATTCAAGGAAGTCATGCCCTCGGAAGTCTCTAATTCATAGTGCTATTCTAAGGCAAAGCTTATTTATTTATTGTGTCAGGAGCAACCAGACAGTTGCATTACATTTTTAACAAAACAAACAAATAAACAGACAAAACACAGAGTTTTCAAGCTTGGGAGTTGATTAAATGTCCTTTGACCAGTATCTGGCCACTTGGAGTGCTTCTGGTGTTGCTGCAAGAAGGTCCTCCATTTGTGCATGTAGGGCTCAGGTTGCATTGCAGCAGGTGGTCTGTAGTTTGCTCTTCTCCACACTCGCATGTCGTGGATTCCACTTTGTAGCCCTATTTCTTAAGGTTGGCTATGCATCTCGTGGTGCCAGAGCGCAGTCTGTTCAGCGCCTTCCAAGTCGCCCAGTTTTCTGTGTGCCCAGGGGGGAGTCTCTCATTTGGTATCAGCCATTGATTGAGGTTCTGGGTTTGAGCCTGCCACTTTTGGACTCTCGCTTGCTGAGGTGTTCCAGCAAGTGTCTCTGTAGATCTTAGAAAACTATTTCTTGATTTAAGTCGTTGATGTGCTGGCTGATACCAAACAGGGGATGGGCTGGAGATGTCACTGCCTTGGTCCTTTCACTATTGGCTGCTACTTCCCGGCGGATGTCAGGTGGTGCAATACCGGCTAGACAGTGTAATTTCTCCAGTGGTGTAGGGCGCAGACCCCCCGTGATAATGCGGCATGTCTCATTAAGAGGCACATCCACTGTTTTAGCGTGGTGAGATGTGCTCCACATTGGGCATGCATACTCAGCAGCAGAGTAGCATAGCACAAGGGCAGATGTCTTCACTGT